GGTCCTTATGCATGCTGAGATAAACTTCCAGTCCATTTACTGTTTTTTGTATATTGGTTTTGTACAATGAAACCTGTGGTTTTATTAGTTTTAATAATTTTTGATGGTGTGTTTGTGATTTTCTAAATATAAAATTATATCATTCAAACAGTAATGATTTGACTTTCTGTTTTTCCAATTTGGTATCCTTTATTTATTTCTCTTTTCTGATTGTTTTGAGTAGATCTCCTAGTACTATGTTGAATAAAAATCATGCATTCTTGTTGGGTTAGAGCTAATTTCTTAAAGATGTAAATTTTGTAATATTAATTCCCTTGCTCAAAGTCACAAAGCGCTGATGAAAGTTACACAGTAATGAGGGGGTTTTGGTAGTTTCAGGACATGCTACCTCAAATTATGTTACCTTGATATGTGAGAAAACACCTGAAGCAGGTTCTCACTGACTCTCTCCCATCATTCTCTCCTGAAGCAGGCCATAAAATTATTCTTGTACATTCCTCTAAGTAGTTCCTAAGACTCTCATTTCAAAAGGCATGAAGACAGCAAGGCACACAAAATATTTGCACAAACATATCTTGCAAAGTTCCTTCCAGTTTGTTACCATTAGGTCCCATCCATTTGTCCTCCAATCATGTTTCTGCATGACCACTAAAATAACAAACTTCATTGTTGCTTTGAATATTTATTTTTGAAGGCTTTTGTGTGATATAAATCTGTATACGTTTTTCTCACTAATCTTTGCTTTGAGGATCTCAGCCATGAACCTCAGAATGAGGAAAAGATGTTACATAGTTTGTTCTCCTCCACAGATCCCACATGCTGATGAGGACTTTAGATAGACATTAATATGACAGTTATGTTACAGGACCATTTTCATATAGATGATTGTACCAGTCAGCCTCAAAGTTAGGTTAAGCTCCACCCCTTGGATTTCGTGCCCTAATACCCTTTCCTCCATCACCACTCAAGGGTGACTCTGTGTGACCCATGGAATGTGTGAGAAATGACAACAAATCACCTTCAGGGCTAGATCGTACGCACTGTGGCTTCTGTCTTGCTCTCTCCCTCAAATTATGTGTTCCATGAGAAGCCAGTTACCATGTTGTGAGAGACTTGAGTAGCCTGTGGACTGTTCCACGTTTCAGAGCTGAGGCCTCTCACCAACAGCCGTGTGACTAATCCAGCTTAAAAGTAGCTTCTCCAGGTCCAGTCAAACTTTCGGATAACTGTGTCCCTCACCAGATCAACTCCACCTCACAGGCACTTTGACCCAGAGCCATCCAGCTAAGCCACTAAGTTCCAGTTCCACAGAAAATTTGCGGTAATCTATGCTTACTCCTTCAACTGCTAAGTTTTGGGATAATTTGTTATGCCATAATCAATAATTAATACAGCCTCTGGTCACGTAAAGGCAGTTCATAGGGAGCTGAGAGCCCAAGTGGGCAGACGCTCATAATTGAGTTTCATGTTTCCTATAAAACCTGAAGAGATTTGCTGAGCCCTTCTCTACTTTCTTTGCTCAGAGTTGTCACACACACTGAGACCTCTTCTCTATTCCTGATCTCAAGAGAGGCGGGGTATGGCCCAAGCTTGCATATCTGTTTATTGGTAAGTGCTCCATTTCCCAATTACAGGTGCAGGGTAAATGTCACGATACTGTGATACGCTTCGTAAAAGAGGAATAATTCTACCTTTAATTTATACCAGCAATCAACTCACTTGCTGAAGATCAGTCACTGACTAGGTAAGAATTACTTCTGCAGCAAGCAACAGTAGCCCTCTGCTTAGAAGACTGGGAGGTAGTTTGAATGCTAACTCTCCCAAACTGCGTAATGGTCCCCATGTCTGGGAGCTATGAGTGACGCCTGGTATGGTAAAAGGCATGGGGCAAATGTCATGTAAGGGTCTTAAAAAGGAGAGATTATCCACTTAGATCCCAATATAATCACAAGTGTCCTTATAAAACGGAAGCAGAGGCGATCTGATGAGAAGACAGAGATGTGATGAAAGAAAGGTAGCGCAAAGTCGCCTGATGGGAGGCCAGGAGCTGAGGGAGGGGACAGAGCTCATTCTGGGAAAGGTGAGGAGGCAGATGTCCTGCATGGCCTCCAGGGGCTGACCCTGCTGACCCCTTTGTCTTGTCCACTGTTGCTAATTCCAGGCTGTAAAGGAAAAATTTTGTGTTTTAAGCCACCGAGTTTGTAAAAACTTACTGCAGTTACCAGAAGGAGGTAAGGACACTGATCATAGCTCCAGCAGGCCCCAAACTTGGTAAGTATGTACAGGAAAAACATTTCAAGTGCTCACTTAGTTACATACAAATTGGGAATGATACAGTGCCTGCTTCCCAGGACTGCTTGTGAGATGAATATCACTTACGTAAAATGCTCAGGACCTGAGACATATTGAAAGGTTTTTGTTTGCCTAGGTTTTTGTTTGTCTAGACAGAATAGTGGAATATAGAAAGGGTTGAATATTTATTAACTATTCTACTACTCTGATTGTTCCTCTTCAGGGGTGTTGGCTATAAGTTGAAAAAAAAGCAGAAGGGAGGAATGACACAGGAGAAAGCCAGATGTGAAAGACCCGAAGAGCATTCTGAAAAGATTTCTTTGCCCATGTATATATATATATATATACATATATATATATATGTATATATATGTATGTATATATAGAAAAGATTTCTGTGCATATATATATATATATATATACATATATATATATATGTATATATATGTATGTATATATATGAGCTGCTTTCAGAGAAAGCCACACACAAAGGTGAAAGCTTATCCTATTTACGAAGGGCTCCTGAGGGGCAGTGTCCATAACTTTCCTGATAGCTTCCCTTGGTACAGATGAAGTCCATTCTTCAGTTTCACAGAAGACTGAACTGGTGGCTGTACATTCTTCTTTACCAGAAAATGGAACAGTTTCATTTCTGAGAGATGCATAAGAGCCAAAGCTATAGAAGAGAGACTGCTATAACACCGTCATGTGTAACAGCTCCTGTTTCTAGAGCAATTTCAGGACACTGAGTAGATACAGAGTATAAACCTTTTTATTTTCCTTATCCTAGATATCAAAATTTGCTCTTTAAAAAGCTCATAATAACCTAATTTACTCAGCTTCCTTTTGATGCTTCTGTTTTCTACTGATTTACTACTGGTATTCTGTTTGTTTGTATGTTCTTATAACCCCTGCATAGGTTAAGTGCTCTGTGCTTTCCACCATGAGCCCTATGGCCAGAAATGACACGTACATCATTCTCTCGCCTAGAGCTTGTAGAACAACTTGTGCTTTGCTTTTACGATGACAGTGATACCAGAAACCTAAACCAAAGAGACTTTTTAAAAATAGGGTCTGATGCTACTGGGTCTTTATTGGCTGACTGCCCGCTCGCAGAGCAGAGACCTGAGGGACACGCGCCTACCCTGGTGGAGGACACTAGCTCCCTCAGGCCTTACACCGACAGCCCTGGTCCTGTGAGCCACATGACCCCTGGGAAGGACGGACCTGTCCACTGCTGTCTGTCAGTGCAGAGCCCCAAGGCTGCGGCCTGGCCCTGAGCAGAGTGCGGCACGACTGCTGGCGAGGTCTCTGTCCGCAGAGCCGGGCAGTGGAGGGGAGGCTCTCTGCGCCAGGAGTCTCACTCTTCCGGGTGCTGTCCCATGACAGTGGACAAGGGTAAGCTTCGGGGACCTTTACGACCATGCAAAAGTCTCTGCTCCTAGGCACAAAGCGGGCACTCGCCCTCTAAGGAAGATCACGAAGGGGAACAGGCGACATGGAAAGCGATGTCCCCTGTTCTCTCCTCACACTCACTCGCCTCCTGCTCTTCGGGGAAACTAAATGCAGTCTATAACCCACATCTCCCCAGGTTACAGAATTCAACTCCCAGATGCTAGAAGAGATGGAGAGACTTGCACACTCGGCACTGCCTTAGCCCGCGTCCGCGCAGTTCCGGCTGTTTACAGAGGTCGACACACTTTCCCAGCCCGCGGTGAACTCCGAGCCCTGTGCTTACCATGGAGGGCCCTTTCCGCGAGCAGCACACACAGCGCTTCATGCCTCGTCCTGCTTTTTCCCGGAGAAGCCTGGAATGCTCCTTGCCCTGTTTTGCCACGTCTTTGCATCATGATGAGATTAAACCCGTCTCTCTTGCTTAGGCCTGACACAGGCAGCTGTCTTCCCGTCACATTGATTTTTCTGTCCTTGTGGATTCAAAGCCAGGGCCGAGTCTTAACAGGGTGAGTTCTCTGACAAGGGACTTTTGCAACCTAATTTACAGCTGGAGTCAAGCTTGTCAGAGAGCCCGAGGCAGCTGAGTGTGGAAACCGGCTCGCTAAGTGTGCGTTTAATAGTGTTTACCCAGGCGAGTTTGTGATTTCTTCACTCTCACCAACAAATATGTTATTCGTAATGACTATCTTCTGTAATCTAGGTGTTTGAAAATGTTTCTAACATGCACAGGCTAGCATGCGTTTTGTTTTCCTGTAAGGACAGCCATTTCACAAGGGCAGTCTCCAGGGAGCTGTCCAAAACTGCTTGCCATTTTTCTCAGTCGTTCTCTGCAGTGACCATGTCTTAATCCTGAAGGAAAACAAGGTAATCTTTTCAAATAAGCAGTCTCAAGGGTGTTTAGAGGAAACTCAATGGCTAGCATGAAGAATCTCTACAGAGCTGGAGAGTAAATTACTGAAGCAGCCCAATTACAGCAACCGGGGGCCTTGGAAAGCATGTGGTTTGGTCAGACGATTCACAACAATTAAATTACAAGCAGAGATTTGCAGTGCGCGTGTATGTGTGTGTGTGTGTGTGTGTGTGTGTTCAAAAGTCACACAGGATCTTGTCCCTCACAGTATTTAGTTGATAATGAGGCACAGAGGGTTAAAAGCTTGCAGTCTGGTAAGAGGTCGTGGAAATACTTCGGGGTTGCGTCCCTGGAAGCCCATTGCAGACTGTAATGATCTTATCCAATGAGCACCCATGCCTACCTGACCCACAGGGTGTCACAGAAAGCAGCAAAGTCCACTGCAGAATGTGTTTCCCCTCCGGATCGGTACCGCTCTGCAGGAGACAGGATCGTATCTCACCTCTCTGGCTCTGGAAAACACAGGAATTCATATTTGAAGTATGGTTTCTCCTGAATGTGTAAGAAGCTGAAAACCTGAGTTGACGCACTGTAAATCAGGAATTGTCTGTCCTCAAACCTGAGCCCATTAGGTCACTGGCTAAGCTGCCTCCAACGAAATAAATAGGAGAGGACGAAGCCCTTGATCATGACATAAAAAGCAGGTAGTGAGACAAGTGCCGTTGGTTGCATGACTTATTAATGTATTATTTCTATTCTTAAAGGACAGACATGCAATCTAAAATAACATGTAAGATGTGGACTAAATCAACAGAAATTACCTGAATTGCATAACTAATTTACATCAAAACAGACCATGCATATTGGTGCTTACATTACCAGAATTATTTTTTGTTTTAAGAAGAAACATGTTTTTCCCTGTGCCTTGGTCTTTCTCCTCTGCAAGCTCCTAGAGGACAGATGCCTTTTTTATTTAGGCCAGAAGTTCCAGAACTTAGTGCTGGTATTTGTCCATATGATTACAAAAATGATGGAAGGAAGGAATTTGATTTTGAATATGACATTATCTCTCATGGTTTGTGAGCCTGCTGATTTTTATTTATTTATTTATCATCTATTCAAGGTGCCAACACATTCAAAGCATTTTTGAAAATATGCTTCACCTGTACGAGACAAATAAATTGCAGGTATCTTGTTAAAATACCTTATAGCAGTGCTGTCTGAAAGAAACCTAACGAAAGCTATGTGTAATTTTAAATTTTCTGATAGCTACAAAGATAAAAAGAATATGTGAAATTAATTTTTTAATAATACATTTTAATTAGTCTATCTAAAAGATTATTTCAACACATACATAAAAAAGCACTAATAACACATTTTCCATTCCATTTTCTTTATACTTTTTTTTGAGACAAAGCCTTGCTATCTAGTTCAGGGTGGTCTTGAGCCATGTGGCACAAACTGGCCTTTTACTCATAGCAATCCTTCTGCCTCGGCCTCCAAGAGTGTTGGGATTCTGGTGTGTGCAGCTGCTCCTGGCTGTTATTCCCCATCTTAATTCAGACCTACATTCAGACCGAATAGTGGGTCACCACAGTTTCATTGTTTAGGTAGACACATGTAGCCTTCATGCAGCTCGCAAGTTCACAGGTAGATGTACATTTTCCCCTGCCCCTTATCCAATCCCTGCTGTTAAACTGGTCTCCATTGCTGTTGCTTGGAAACAGCAGCATCCCAGGGGTACACACCTAAACTGGGGTAACTAACCATCCCAGCTTAGGGGGCAAAGTTTCCCAGGACAGGATCTGCTATGTTAAGTCTAGGGCAGTCCTGAAAATGGGGATGATCCTTAGTCCCATGTGTAACCCCTGCTTTAGTCAGTGTATTGTGTCTTCTGGGCTGCTGTGCTTGGTACAGACACAGAATGCAAATCTGGCTGCGAATGGTTTGGAACTATCGGGAGAAAGGACTTCACTGTCGGCAGTGTACATTATTAAGAACTTCAGCTAATCTCTACGTGGAGAGGGGAGAGCCTGGTTGAGAATACCGTGGTGTGTGTGGGTGTGGGTGTGTGTCCTCTCTAACGCCTGGGAGCAGGAAGCACATTTTGTGGGGAGGGGTGGAAGGCAGGAAATAGCTGCACACTGGCGATGATCTGGGGCTTTATGGGGATGTTAAAAGTAGGAAGCAGTGAAGACCTGTGGTCTTTCTTCTGTCTCCCCCTCCCTTGCTCTCAGGCCTTATGCTTTGCTCCTGTGGTGAGCACTGTATTTTGCTGGACACTGATGAGAGACCCTTACCCTCACTGTAGGTACCAGATTGTCAACAGTCCAGGAGGTTCTGATCTGTGGGGTAGGCGCCTTGAGAGCTTTCAGAGCTGCAATATCAGTCATCCAGAACCTCATTCACCCCTCTATCTTTTCTTAATGGAATCATTAGCTTGCATCTTTAGAGAGTTCCAGGAGAAGGGTGAGAGTAAGACAGATCTGTTGAGGTATTAATGTGTAACTTGACATAGTTAAGCCCCGTGTGAAGCACTCGTCATATATTAAAACACATTTTGGCTCCACAGCAATCTTAGAAGGGTGGCATCATTGTCCTGAAATGGAGAAATCTAATTATCACCATTTCCTTATTCACAATTCACTTAGCAAGATTCATTTTAGATTATCTTATACTAAATGAATTTATCATGTAGTGGATAAAAATAGGCTTGCAGGAATATATTTATAATGTTGTGTGTGAGTGTGCTAAGCACTGCCATGGGAGAGGGAGGGAGAGAGAGGGAGGGAGGACTCCTGACAGCAGAGATGGGCACAGGGCATGGTTCACAGGGCGTCAGAAAGCTCCCTGCAGACCAGAAGCTGGAGCTGAACTTGACACACTCAAGTTTATCTGCAATACTGAAAATTCATTTACTTTTTTCAGGAGAATGTTCCATCATTTCTCAGTGACAAATTATAGTTTATTCTGAATATGCCATAACTAACAGAATTCTGATTCCTGAAGCTAAACAGTTGGATTCTTCAGATTTGTTTTTAGCATATTGTTGGGCATCTCTTACTGCACATTTGGGGCTGAAATTTCCTTATTGGCCAAACATAGCAGGTCGCCCAACTAATCTATCACAGTGTCTCTTCTGATCTTAAGACTTAGGAAGCCATGAAATCGGGCCCTGCATTTTTACCTGTGCTGGCCTCTGTTAGGAGAAACTGCAGTTCAGAAGAAAGAAATATCAGAGATGTAAAGGGAGCTAAGAAGAAGTTTGGTCTCATCTTATTTTTACCAACATTAAAGCATCACTGGATGAGACAGTGACGATTTGGCAGTTCAGGCTGGTGATTTCAGAAAGTTTCCCTGCATGTCTCAGCCTAAGCATCATCAGATTCACAATTGAAGAGTAGTGAGATTCACCAGCTATTTACTATCCATAAATGCTCCCTATCCAGAAGCAAAATAAAATGAAACAACAATAAAAATCCAACATTTTTATATGGATTTATTCTGTAGGCAGACCATATTCCTAATTTTAGAACATACATTTTCCTGAAATATCAGCATTCTTCTTGTATTAAATTTTGTGTCTGGGGAATGCATTTATGCATGTGTAAAATTTAAAACTGAGGGGGTTACTGTCTGTTGAGTTAAGTTCCCCGAAGTTCAGTGTGTATCTGCACCTTGAAGGCACAAATAATTTCTAATATATGAAAAATGAGAGCGTGGAAAGGGACAACTGTTTACCGATCTTGTTGATGTATTTGGCCTCTTGCACTGTATTTTTGGTGTCAAACGAGGTGATATTGATTTATTTTTTGACTAAAGTGAAAAGACCTCATCACGTTTGATGAACAAATGTGGTGGTTGGTGTGCATATTGATCTACCTTGGCGTTTCAGTCCATAGGAAAACAAAGCCATGCGCTCCTCGCCGGGTTGGCAGTGCTAATTACTGCCCTGCCGCTGAGCACGTGGCCACCTCCACGGGGCCCTAGACATCTGAATCAGCCCAGTGGGCAACCTGTGGGGTGCTACTCCTCCGTATGGTCTGCGATCCGGGGAGACCTGGAATTCAGCCATCACACCTCCTCGCACAGATGTGCTTCCTTTCACTTCCAAAGGCATACCTCATGTGGCCACCAAAGCCTGCCCCTTCCTGCCCTTGTGGCTCGAGGGAGGGCGACCCCTGGCATCCACACTTGGGCTCCGTCCCCATTGCCGAAGGAACAGCATGCCTGCTGTTTCTAATGTGCCTCCCTTTTAGTTGGATATGATTCTCTTATGCCAGTATTACAGGGAAACTCACTCAGAAAACCGAATGCTTTGGAGCCTTGACGGCTTCATTCTGCACTCGAACTCTGCTGCTCACGGACTGTGAGGCGCTGAAAGAACTCCAGCAGCTCTCTGTGCTTCTGACTCCAGATCTGCAGAATGGAGAAAGCGATGCTGTGAAACATTTCGGATCTTGGTCCACGTAGTTTACATAAACGCCCAGCGCAGCAACTGGCAAATAGTGGCCACTCCAGTAATGCTGGTCGTCAGTCCTTCTGGGAAACTTCTAGGAAGGGACGCTGAAAAACAGGCACAGGGTTCCTGCAGGCTTGCAAAGTGCTTTGCTCCACATAGATGCTCAGTGGCGTTGGCTACACCAGTGTTTTACTATAAAAGTAGAAATGGGAAGAGCCCATGTCAGTGGGTGACAAGTCTGTTCGGTGCAAAGACCAGTCTCTGTAAGGCCTGTGCAAGGCTCTAAAAGGTGGGATGACTACAGAAAGGACATAGCATGCTCCATGTGCAGGCTCGTGACCTCTCCTAGGGGTCACCCACGAGATGAATTAGGAAGAGAGAGACCGAAGATGGGGCCAGCTGCTCCTGATCTTCAGACAATCTAAACAAAGATGAGATACTCCATCTTCACTGATTAATCTTTCATGATTTATTCCTTGGACATCGGTTAAAAGGAGCATTTTAAAGTAAATTAATTGAATTCCCATGACCTTTTACCCTACTAATATCATCAAAAGAAACCAGATCTTGAATTTTTTAAAAATGCTGGAGCTTTTGATGATTTACAAACTACAAAGCAGGTCAGTTTTTTTTTATTTTTTGAGGTCTTGAATAAAAACCCCAGCTTTTTCAGCAGTAAGTTGAAATATTCTAAGTTTGAAGCATGTGTTTTAGGAAATAAATCTTTCATGAGAGATATCATAGATATGAATAAAGGATAAGCATATAAGCAAAGAAACACAAATGTGGAGTAGTATTGGTTGTCTTCATAAGAGCCATTTCTCCTTTTATATTACTGACCCTGATAACATCTCTTTGTCTTTTTCTAACATGACTTTAGTAGGTTTTTAACCGTTGTGAGCCATATTTTTAAAGGTGCAAGTGGTGATCTATTAGCGGGATTTAAAGTTAGTTAGTGGTTCAATCAGGTTTTTTTTTTTTTTTTAATAAATAGATCAGTATAGAGAAAATGAAAAATTTCTGGATGCACTGCATAGAAAAAATTAATTTTATTAATGAAGCTTTCACTTCTGTTTTACATGTACGTATAAATGCTTTTGTGCATGTACTGAGAGCATACAGCATATATTTCACTGTGGTCACATCTCAGAAACTTCTGAATTTGTGTGGTTTTGTGTTGTTTTGTTTGGAAATTCCCTGATGATGATGATCTCGGCCTGGATGATCCCCCAAGAGAAGTCTTGGGGCAGCGGGGATGGGGAGGAAAAGATCCTTTACTCAAAGCATGATGAACAGTGGAGCTGTGGTCTCCTGTCCCTACAGAAAGTTGTGACACACATATGTGCTCCTGGAACAGTGGCACCATCGAGTAACAAGGGAAGGAACTCATATGAGAATATTTGAGGAGAACAGAGTGAGAACCTGCAAGGAATCTGGGTCCTGGTACTGATTTAAAGTGTGGTGTTATATACTGCCAGAAGTAAACCTATCTTTGGGGCTTGTTATATGAGGTGAAAGAATCCCCTTAGTGTTAAACTACTTGAGTTGGTTTGTTTGCTACTGAAGACCAAGGCATCCTAAAGGATAAAGGAAGCTTGTGTTAGAGAAAGCAATTGTGTCAACCCTCAAATGTAGGTGTGAAGGCAGGAATGCTGGCACTCTGGGTCAGATCATGAAGGAAGATGAATTCTCACGTTGATTCCCAGACAGGGCAGGCTTACAGTTCTGAGCACAGGCCGTCTGAATCTGACTCTCTGTATGCCACTTGGTACCCGAGTTTCCTCGAGAAAGTGTTCATTTGAAGCAGTGTGCTTCAAGTTCACAGGTTTGCTGTCATTGTATGGGATGGATTGAAGGATGGAGAGATCAGAGGCAAGGAAGCTGGTTAGGAGACTGTGTTGGTGAGCTATACCAATGTGCTTATATCCTGAAAATGGTGAAGGACGAATGCAGAAGAGGCAAAGAAGGTGGACTTGAGGGTAGACTGGGCATGGAGATTGGTCGAGGGAAGGAATCATATTTAATGCTGCAATTTTAATGCTAGTAGTCTGAACAGGAGAATAAGTGATGTATATGGTAGAGTGCAGATAAAGAGTGAGCAAGGGATGTAACTTTCCTGAATACCCTTCAGGGATGGAACTGTATTTATTTGTAGTTTCTACAGGCACTTCTACTTTACCTGGCAAGCCAAAGTTCAGAGAAATGAAGGGGTTTCCAGTGACTAGGGATATAGCAAGTGACAATGCCAAAATTTAATCCAGGTCTTTTTCACTTCAAATTTCTCCTCTATGCTGTGCTACTTCTTGAGAGATACACATAACCAGGACAAGAAGTAGAGAAATCAAGAGGCAATAACAGGTTTTAACGAGAAGATAGATGCTTCACATAGTAACTTTCTCATTGCTGTGATGAAATACCCGACAATTAACAATTTAAACAATTTAAAGGACAAGAAGTTTGTTTGGCTCATGGTTTCAGAATATTTAGTTCATGGTTGTCTGTGTCCAAGGCAAGAAGAACACAGCCTGGGAAAGAAAGGCTGTTTAATTTATGACAGCCAAAAAGCAAAGCAGACAGAGTACCACAGAGGAAGGGACCAGAGACTACGCATGGAACACTAGGTTATACCTCCATGATTCACCCAGACAATAGAAGTGTGCTTTATTAATCCCCTGGGGGGCTCTCAAGCCAATCAAGTTGATAGTTAAGCATAGGTTAGACTACAGACACGTAACACAGATGGAATGCAAAGGAAGGACCGCTCCTTTCAGAATGATGGGATTTTTAAATAAAGGAAAATGTGGTGTGAGAAAGCAGAGACAAGCATCAGAGGAGAAAGTGAGTACACTGAATACCTTGCAGACAGGTATGGTGAAACCAAGCCAAGAGTGTGCAGCAAGAGATAAGGATTCAGATGGTCATGACTTGAGCAGTTATGTGAAAGAGGGGCCAAAACAATACTGAACATGTAAAAATGGCTTTCCAGTGATAGTCAAGCAAGCAGTTCCAAAAACTCAACAAACACAAGTGCTAGGCTGTAGGATATAAGGTATCTGGGACAACTGTGCACTACTGATGGAGGGGATTTGTGTTGATGGGTGACAAGTCAAGACTGACAAGAAAGGGAAAATCTTTTCTTCTTTGAAGCATAGAGAAAAGAAGATAACTTGAAGATGCTTTAGAAAAGGAGAATAAGAGAAGAATCAGTAGGAGTAGAGAGAAAGGAAAAGAAAGAGAAGGCAAGAAGGGCAAGAGACATGGAAGGAAAGAGAAGGAGCCTGCCAGTGAGCCCCACAGAAGCCCTGGGGGTTAGTTCCTGCAGGAGAAGGGTCATGTGGTCCTTCTGGCTAGAGCAGGAAATTACTAGACAGAATTCAGCAATGACAACAGGGATGTGTGAAATGCTTTGCAGTCAAAAGAGGTGAGTGAAAAGACTGGTATGTAACATTTAGGGTGGAAGAAATTATGAACACAGCGTGCTCCTTGAATGTGCAGCCAGTTCAGGCAGAGAGGAGAATGGACTCTGGGAGGAAATGAGATTTGCAGTCATTGTTGAGGAAAATGGTACAGGCAGCAGAAAAGGAGCTCCAAATGGGGCTACATCCATCCCTCGCAAGGGGCTTCGAGGGGCACTGTGGGTGAAAACTGTGGCGTTCTGCTCATGGGTCCACTCCAGGTAGTTGGAAAGCACAGTCTTTTTTATTATATGTATCTTAGTTTTTGTTATCTATACTGTGGGAAAAGCTGATTAAGGTTCTTCATAGTTTTGTTGTAGAAATTCAGCAAGCTGATATATGATGTGAAGATGATGATGATGATGATGATGACGATGATGATGGTGATGATGACGGTGATGTGATGACCAGGACAAAGGAAACCACAGTAACAATGACAATGACAAAGGAGTGTGTCTATTACTATTGATCTACTCCTTTTCAGCATCTATTACTGTGGCCTTTTGTGGTGAGCCACGTACTATTTCAGTCTTCTCATATATTAACTGATTTAGCTTTCCCTTTACTTCTATGAGGGTGCTATAGTTTTCTTCCAAGTCCACAGAAAACAATCAGGTCTAGTGTATTTCATTGCCTAAGCTTAAAAACTAAGTAACAGAGTCAGAAGTCTCTAAGTAGTCTGGGTCCAAATGAAGAAACTGTAGAATATAATGTTTTATATTTTGCAAAGTGTTATTACAAGAAGATAAGATAGAGTTTAAACAATTTTCGACCGAGGACATTTTGAATTTAGTTTTGATTAAAGTATCATCCTAATCCCACTAGGTTTTTAACAACACTGTGACTTGATAGTTTTGGATTTTTTTCCCTCACTGAGAAAACAAAACTTTTCATCTGCATGTGTCCGGTTTCACATGGAAGATAGACCCTTGCTGCTTCTCCTTAGTGTTCATTCCTGTGAGCACAGCTGTGCAGGGGAGGATGTGTCTCCACTGATGGACTGCCAGGATGGAAGCTGCTGTCTCCAGCTTTCTGCTGGACTCTGGGGGATTGGTGAGTCAGGAAAAGATGACTGGCTTCATAGGAACACAGCTACTTAAAAGCCAGAGAAAATCTTCCACCAGATCATCAAAATGCGAGATCAGATTTTGAATGTGTTTCCTCAGAGTGTCGCTTCAATGATTTCTTCCTGAATAGTTGTGCCAGAGTCCAAGTAAATTTCAGGGAGGAGGTGATGTGTTTGTTACACTAGCAGCTGTACAGCACAGACACAGGGAGCCAGACTCTTAACAAAGGCTTCTCAGCTTTTCTAAAGAGCACTTGGTGCCTTGTAGAAAACCTTTGCCTTTGTAGAAGCATATTTGTAATATCTTCAAACTCAGTTGATTGCAGTTTGGAATTGCCAGTAGGAATCTGGAATTTGGTGAAAAGAAAGGTTTACAGCATTAAGTAAATGTGGCATCCTTACATGAAGACAACAACCAAAACAGGGCTTAATCGTCATTGGTATATTCACCTCTCTAAGGGGCAGCAGCTGGGTCTCTGCTGCACTGACATGAGGCAGATTGGGAACTGACTGTGGTGGTCAACCAAGGATCCACTGGGCTTGGCATTCCTGGCTCTACCTCCTGTGAGATATTAAAAGACACTCTCTTCAGTTCTACACATCCTGTCACAGGCAGCCACCATCCAGATCAACATTCACTAGGAGAACAATGGCCTTTTGAGACTCTGAAAAGGTACACTTTCTCTTTGTAAACTTGTGTGTGTGTTTTAAAGAGAGTCTTTAGTTAAAATAGAAAAGAAGAAATAACAAAAGAAAGGAACAAAAAGTTATTGTTCCAGGGCCAGAAGAACTAGTGGGCAAAGCAGTAAAACTGTAAAATCCAGGCAACAAGGCCAGGGCTGCGAGCATTAGGTGATAGCAGTCTCAAGACGGTTCTGCTGCCCATGCTCTGCCTTCAGAAATGGGATGGATCAGCCCAACTGAAAGAAGGTCACTTGCAGACTTGAGGGCCTCCGAGGTCTGAAACAGAGCCTGGACTTTTGATCTGGCTCCGCTGCCTTCTGGATAGGGTTTGACTTCTAAAGTGTGTTTATTTAAGATCTGTTTACCTCACTTCTCTTCTCTACATTTTTCACTCTATATTTTTGTCAAAAAGAGATATACTACTAAAAAAGTATCTCTAATGTCAGGCTGTGACATATTAAGGACTTGATCCTACTGTCTCAGATCTTAGAATTCTGTGGACTTGTGCTTTTTACTATTTCAGAGTCTGTGTTGGCTTTATAAAATCTGATTGACGATACGGACAATTCAAGTTGTATTTTAATGGATCCATCAGCACCTTATGTCTCTTCCAATTAATATTATCAGTATTTAGGAATAAATATAATAAATATTATAAATAATATTTAGGAATAAGTATCACAGTGAGCCAGGATTTACGTATACTCCACTAATATCAATTATTTAAATAACTTCTTCACAATAGTTGCTGTATCAGCAAAACACCCTACTATTTTAGAATTTATATACTTATAAATGACACTGTTATAAATAAAAACATTTCTTTTGGTTTTGGGCATTGAACTGAAGACCTTGCACTTGAGAGGCAGGTTTAGTGCCCCTGAGCGAAATTCCTGGCCCCTAAGAGGAAAATTTATAGCAGTGAACTCTCACATTAAGAAAACACAATGAGCTCACATAAACAACCTCATGTTGGACCTCATACTTCTAGAAAAATAAGAACAAGTCAAGCCAAATATCACACTAGGGAAGAAATTATAAAGATTAGAACAGAAATTAATGCAATTGAGACTAAGAAAATAATACAAAGAGTCAATGAATTAAACAGTTGGTTCTTTGAAAAATTAAACAGTTGGTTCTTTGAAAGATTAAACAAAATTGATAAACTCTTAGCCAACATCATTAAAAAAGGGGGGAAAGAAAAGAGTAAATTCATGCAATTAGGAATGAAAAGGGTGAAATCAAAATGGATCTGTGGAAATCTAGATCATCAATATCTGCTTCAAAAACCTGTACTCTATAAAATGGAAAACAGAAGAAATGGACAGATTGATAGATATACATGAATTTGTAAAGCTGAATCAAGAAGGCATTAAAAATTCTAAATAACCCAATATCAAGCAATGAAATTGAAAATAAAATTAAAAGCTTACCAACAAACATGGCTTCACTGCTGAATTCTACAAGAAATTTAGAGAAGATCTACTTTCAGTTCTCTTCAAACTCTTTAGTAAAATAGAAAGGGAAGCAACACTCCCCAAAGCATTTTTGGAAGCAAGAATTACCCTGATACCAAAATTAGAGAAGTACCCAAGCAAAGCAACCAAACAAGCAAACACCCTAAAAGCCAGTCTCCTTAATGAATAGAGATGCAAAAATCCTCAATAAGATACTAGCAAACAGAATGCAGCAAACCATCAAGAAGATTGCACACCCTGGCCAAGTCAGATTCATCCCAGGGATGGTTCAACATATGCAAATCAATAAGTGTAATACACCTTATCAACAGAACCAAAGGAAAACCACAAGTTCATCTCAACAGATTCAGAAAAAGCATTTGACAAAATCCAACACCCATTCATGATAAACACCATATAGAAAGTTGGAATAGGTGGTCTTTACCTCAGTCTGATAAAAGCCATCTATGAGAAGCCAACAGCCAACATAATACTAAATGGTCAAAAAGTAAAAGCTTTCACTCTAAAATCAGGAGCAAGACAAGGATGTCCACTGTCACCACTTTTATTCAACATAGTTCTGGAAATATTAGCCAGAGCAATTAGATAAGAGAACCAAATAAAGATAGAAAAGAAAGAAATTAAATTATTATTTGCAGATGACACGATTTTAGACATAGAAGACCCCAAAAACGCCACAAAAAACCCTCTGGATTTTATAATCTAATTCATTAACATAGCTGGATACAAAGTCGACACTCAGAAAGCAACAGCCTTCCTGTACATGAATAACAGACTCACTGAAAGATAAATTAGGGAAGTAATAGCATTGAAAAAAATGGAATACTTAGGAATCAATCTAGCAAAGGAAGTAAATGGTCAATACATCATAGTTCTCTGAAAAAGGAGATCAAGGAGGGTATTAGAAAATGGAAAGATGTCCCTTACTCTTGGGTAGGAAGAACCAACGTAGTGAACATGACCATATTCCCAAAATTGTTCTACAGAATAATGTGCAATCCCAATCAAAATACCATCATAGTACCTCATAGAACTAGAGAAAACCCACAGAAGGGGAAAATATTTTATCTATTTTTCCTTTGTCTGAGGCACTTGACACAGGACTTGTAATATCTAGAACATACAAAGAATTGAATTTAAATACCCAATCAAAACATGGGCATCTGGAATGAATGAAGAAGTAGAAACAGCCAATAAATCATAAAAGAAATGGTCAACATCACAGGTCATTCAAGATATCCAAGTTAAAACAGCACTGAGATTTCACCTTGCCCTGGAAAGAATCGCTCATATCAGAAATCAACCAACCACAAATGTGGGTGCAGCTGTGGGGAAAAGGAACCCTACTCTGCTGTTGGAGGGAGTGCAGACTGCTGCAACCACTGTGGAAATCAGTGTGGAAATTCCTCAAAGAACTAGGATTAGAGGGTCCCATTTGACACAATATTCCCCTTCTAGGTATCTTCCCAAAAGAATTAAAAGTATCATACCACAATGGTATATGCACATCCACATTTACAGAGACATAGTTTGTAATAGTTAAATCTTGGAAATGATACAAATTCCCATTAACTGTTGAATGGATAAAAAATATGTGTTTTTTTTAATACAATGGAGTACTACTCCGCCATAAAGGAAAATAAACTTGAGACATTTCTAGCTAAACGGATGCACCTTGAGACCATACTCCTGGATGAAATAAATTGGATACAAGTGTAAATATTGCATTGTCTTTCTGTTGTGAGAAACTGAAAGGGTAATTAAGGGCCAAAATGTATAACAGATAATGTGAAATAAGAAAAAATTGTTTAAAAAGAAAGGGGAACTGGGAATAGGGGAGGGGGAAAGAAGGAGGGAAAAGAAGAAAAATGAGAAAAGGAGGAAAAATACAAATGAAGCTTTTGTAAATAAGAAAGGCAGGGAGACTGAAAGGAGAGGAGGGGAGTTGGAGAAAAAAGAAATCAAGATATATTGTGTATGGGAACACATTCCCTGTGATGAATGTGATCATTATGTACATTTAAATTGTACAATAGAATTAATAAAAGAAGAGAGTGCTCACTAGTGCACAAGAAAAGCTAAAGAAGGGGATTCAGTTTAATTTAGATTCAGGTTTGGACAAACTGTAAAAGTTATTGGAAATAAACAAAATTTACCTTAATACATCTTTTCTTTCCTTCTCTTCCTCCGTCCTTACCCCCCCCTCTGTGTCTCTCTTCCTCTTCCCTCATCATCTCCCCACTCCTTTCTCTATCATTTTCTCCATTCCCCTACTATTCCTAAGAATTGACAACAGCAAGATAAAACCCAGTTTTTAACACATCGTAAGACAATTTCTAACGCAAGTATAAAATACATTTCCTACTCTCGGGAAGACACTCAGCGCCTGCACTGAAGAGTTATTGTTCCTCGGCCATCCTGTGTCCCTGGAAACAACCCTACCAGAGAATCCAACTCTCGCGAGAGCTCCGGGCAGTTCAGTGGGGGCACACTGTTTTTCTGAAGCTGGGCGATGGTGGTAAAAAAAATTGACATAATCTCAGCTAGTGATCCATTTAGAATGTGATGTAGGGTATTTAACTCAGAACCCTAAACCTATCCGTAAGACAAAGACAAATGTATTTGTCATTTACAATTTAGAAAAAGTTTTATGTTACGCTCACTAGTGTTTATGTAAAATTTTTAAAAAAAGCTTCCCTTTTTTAAAAAAACTGGAGTTGTGAGCTTATGAGAGAGATATTTCTATTTTACTAGTTTCACAGTGTGCGAGAAGAGGTACCATTGTTAAATGTGATATTTTTTGCAAGATGGAAACAACCTCAGGCTGGGACTAATGGATAATAGTGAACATAAAATAAATAGAAAGTGAAACTGTGATGAAAGAGGGCTGAATCCAATGTAGATACATGATCTAGTGTTGAATGACAAATGACAATAATGTTTGTGATTTTTGGTGCTGGGAGTAGGGACGGGGACACAGGAGACTAGTTGAGAGCATTAATGGCCCAAACAGTGTGGGTGGCATGAGGCATCAGAGAGATTTTCCTAAAACTTCTTTTATCTCTACATTAAAAATAAATAATAAACCTGAAGAGCAGAGTTTTTTAAAGAATAAAAGCTATAAACGAAATCTTAAAATAGCATGGTCTTAAAATATTTTGCTTTGATGAAAAGAATAAAGATGTTCAATATTCGTGGAAAGAGTAATATTTTAGAAAATGGGACACATGATGTAGTAAAACAGCTATTTCAGAGGTGGAAAACAAAACAGAATAAACACTCTTTTCCTGCTCTGATTCTGGAATAAGACGAAAATAAGGGTAAGGACATCTGTGAGGCCAGTGGCAGAATGAAAACAAGGGACCTGTAGTGTCCTTTTCAGCAGTGTTCATGAAGTATATCCTGGCAGACCAGAAGTCAGCAGGTGGGAAGGAAAGCAGCTACATTCACCTCGGTGTGAAAGCTCCAGGGTCCAAAAAGGGGGGGCAGACTCGGCTCCTGCGGGCGCCGTGTGACTATCTTAGAGGGGACAGGGACACATACGCTTTAGCTTGGAGCACTTTGGGATGAGCGTACAGGGCGAACATATGCTTGGGACACAGTTTTTGAAAAACCTGTGCTTATCCTGACCATATAAGAAACAGATTAGTGTCCTTTATCTTAAACAATGAAGTCAAAGTAGTTTCTCCCATGGGCACAACTTGGGCTCAGACACCTGACACGCGTAACAGCTCCTCAATGTATCATTATTTCTCTTCCTTCCATGTTCCCACCACCCCTTCTCACCACTTCCAGTGTGTAGATCAGAAACCCTTTTGTGAGTGTTCCACACTCACATGGCAGTGTCAGGCTTGATCTTCTTTTCCCCTTTGCTGAGGTCTTCCCTTCCTCAATCAGTTCTACTCTTCATCGAGGGAGTCATTATTTGTCTTTGGCCTGAGCTGGCCAAAAGTAAGCCGGGAAGGTACTGCAGGCAATTGTCAGTCACACCTCCGAGTTGAGAGGCGCGAGACTGGGTACTCACCCTTCAGCTTGCTTGGCTGTGCAGACTGAGTCATCTAGATGGCTAACTCAGCTCCCAAGCGAACCTTGAGCACTCACAATAGGCTGAAGCACACAATGGCTCCAAGTTCAATTGTCTTCCCCTTGTACAACCTTTGAAAAGCTCTGGAGGCATCTCCATGTCCAGGAGATGTTATGCATGCTTCTTTACAGAGAAACATAGTTATAAATTGGGCTTGGTCACTTCCCCAGGCCATGCTGGAAGGCACAAGAGCCGGCCATTCCCCGAGTGCTGTAATGTCCTACTGTCCAGCAGTAGTGAACCTGTGTCCAGAGCCCTCTTTTGGCAGGGGAGCCAGGTTGTCCCACCAGCAAAGCATCGAATAACAATTGTTTTTTCCATACTGAAACCTCAGTATTCAGCTTTGTTGGCACTTTGCAATAATAAGTGGGTTTTGGGTTGCAGTATTGGCACTTGTCTCTAAAAGGTGCTAAATCCCTGTGCTAATCCCGTAGGACCCCTTTGTAAAGAATATTTGTTTCTCATTGAAACCATTGATCCCCTTTTATAATTCTAAAGAGCATGAACTTTGGAAAAATTTCAGCAAAAGTTAGCCAAAGACATCCTAAAGGAGCCCATATTTCCTGTCACTTGAATCACTGGTTGCTTTCAACTACTGCTAGAGACATTCTCATTTTCTCTCCTGCAACTGGTGAGTTTTTGTTTCAAGTGAAGCTCCAAGCAACCTGAGTCTCTCCATAATCGCAGGCAAATCTGGGGTGTGGGGACTGGGTGGCCTCCAAGTATGATATTCTAGTCAACATTTGCCCATTCCTAAATGTGCACAGTTCAGCATGTTGAGTGTTTATTGAAACAGCTCTGTGGTTTGTCAAACTGCAGTGAAGTTGATGTTGACTATTTTACAGGGCACTGCCACTGAAATAAAAACTGTGGGCTGATGGCACAGAAACAAATGACTAATGTGAATCCAAAATCCAACACAAAGGGAACTAAAGGCAAGTCAAAATAAAAGCTGGAAAGAAATCGAATTATTTGTAGATCCTACTGCATGATTATTTAAACGTGTTCCAGTTAATGAGATCTGTCACTCATGATTGGTTTTGTGGTTGAACAAATAGGATGGCTATACCCACTTCACTGAATCACTGAATGTCATCATGCCACACAACAAATGATGACTACAGAGGGGATGATCAAATGTCAGTAGTAAGATAAATTATTTTAATTCATACTTAATGACAATCCCTTGAAGGCAGTATTTGAGCCCATTTTGTTATGAGAAAAACTGAGGCTCTGTGAGGCCCTGTAATACACTCTCTGTCACACTGGTGGGAATAGATAGAGCCAGAGCCAAAATCCAGGTGGGTTTAGCTGCAAAGTCCCTGCTCTTTCCTAGTACCCTGGGCTGCAGACAATGTGGAGAAGCCCCAGAAACACTGCTATTTCTGAGAGGAAGGATCTTAAATTTTCTGGCCAGCTATAGTGGGATCCTTCAAAGACCAGGTTACTTTGTCCTGGTACTGTGAAGTTTGCACCTGTACTAAATATATTTGTAAATATGCTATAACAATTTATCTGATAATTCTATACCAATATTTTCTCCTCTAGGCAGCTTTTGTAAATCTGGAGATGTTCTCTCTACCATTGCTCTCTTCCCACCTTCCCAGAGAACATGTGGATGTGTTTGGAGACATATTTGATTACTACAGCGAGTTGGGAGATGCTACTGGCATCTCATGTGTAGATATCAGAGATGCTGCTTAATGTTCTACAAAATATAGGGCAGCCCTCTCTCAACAAAGAATTATGGGCTCAAAATGTCCATAGTGCCATGTCTAATGAACTCTGTTCTAGAAATTTCTGGGAATTAGTGAGAAAACCTTGGAAAGACAAAACAAGAACTTGGGCCAGCAGAGCTACACCTCTTATATGTACAAAGCAAGCTGTCCTAGTTTGAGCCATCGATGTACCGATCCCTTTAGTATACACATCTCCAACAGAGCTGGCCTGTAAGGTCAGTGAGAGTTGTGAACATGAAAAAAGTGAAAGGTATGAAATGGAGTGCTCACCTTTCAGAGGGTGTAGCATTGGCCGTCATCTTTTGTGTCTCTCGATCCTATTTCTGTGGCTGCTGTTAGTGGCCATGTTCTGTTTTGTTTTTTGGCTTTTTTTCTTCTTCTTCTTTTTGTTCATACACTGAGTGTTTTTTTCTTAAAAATGGCAACTTTCAAAACTATGCCTCTTCTTTTGAAACATAGTATATGCTTGTTTGAAAATTCCATGTGGCTGGAGTTCCAAACACAGGGCTTTTCACATTTGTTTTCCATCATTTTGACAATTAGCCTCCCTTATTTCAATAAACAGCTAAATCCTAAAGAGCAGTTCTTAAGTACCATTTATCTGGGTGGAGTAAAGATTTCCAATGAACAAGCATTTCACATTTTTCTTAACAAATTGTTTTTCCAACTATTTAACTCTATGAACAAGCCTACAGAGAAGACAGAAAAGAAAAAAGAAAAATGCTGTTGTGACAGTTGAATTGAAAGATCACCCCTGGTTCTGGACTTAGCATTTTAGGAGCATTTCTGTCTTGGGGTATGAGAAGTTGCTTATATAAGAGAAGGAAACTGGTTTACCGAGGAGCATAAAAATACTTAAGATAATTAAAGAGTCATCTTACCTTCATCCAAATCAGAAAAGAAAAAAAAAAAAAAAGAGATTGAGATTTTCTCTTTCCAGTTCTTCCCTCTCCTCATTTTCAAGCCATGTTTTGTGTCTTGAAAAAGTATTCAAGAACCCAGGAAGTATTAACTTGTTATTATTCAGAGGCACACAGAACAATATATCCCTAAAACTTTGCCCCAAACATAGCCTTAACACCATCAAAAGAAGGAAATAAGCTTGGGAAGAGGTTGACTTAGTCTGAGCAGGAATCTTCTTTGACCAATTAACCCAGAATTGAAGAATAGGGTTCTTATGTTCATAACGTTTTCATCAGAAGAGCAAAGTGTATATAACTATGAATATATAATCACTTATATAATGCAGAAACATGTATATAAAATGTATACTAATTTATTAGACAACTCAAACAAGAGTTCCAGGGCTAGATTTATTCATCTGTTCTCTAAGGAACTATGAGATAAGAAATAAATGGGAACAAAGCTTTTGCAAATGGGGATGAGTAGAGGGGTTGAAGGGAGGGCAGGGGAATGGGAGAAAGATAAGAACCAAGATATATTTCGTGAAGATACAAGTTCCCAATGATGAATGTAAATGTGTTGTATACCTAATTGTACCAATAAAAGAATTTAAGTGAGAAAAAAAAAAACTATTAACTATCTCAGTGTACTTTTAAAATTTCTTTCCTTTGTTTCATCTGTAATCAAAAGGAGGTGATTTA